AAAATATAAAATTCATTACAAATTTTATTGTTTAGTATATTTTATAATGATATATTTACTATACAGGGTGTCTCAAAAAAACCCAAAATCATTGAAATTGACGTATTGTTCGATATTCAATGCCCTAGCACTAAGTTAATCCCACGAGTGCATAAAAGATTGACATAACTGCTATAATGAATGGTAATACTCAGCGTAAACTTGTTATGTCAGGCATAAAGTACTAAACCCACGAATGCATATTACGCATATTACAATTTACGAAGCATTTTAAATTCCCATGAGCAAACAAACGTTCACTTTACAAAGATATTTTAATTTTTTAAAACAAATTAATCACCCTGTCAAAATCCTTTGTGTTACGGCATTGAAATTCGAACAATACGTTATTTCAATGATTTTGGGTTTTTTTTGAGACACCCTGTACACTGATACGCGTCTGGGCCGCCTGTGGATGATCTTGCTTATATTTTCACAGACACGCGATTCACCTTGGTTGACCTTCAAACTGAAATACAATGATGTATACAATATCTACCCAATCCCCAAGAGACCCAGGCTCTGGGCCTCCTGTGCACAAAGCTTGCAGTCGCCTGAATCACCTTGGTTGACCTTCACGATGAGTGCAAAAGCGCAGAATAGAGCGTTTGCACATGACGTCACAGCCGCCATGTTGGTGTTTCAATTCAAAAGAACTTTAATTAGACTCTTGTCTGGAACAGGACACTGGGGAATGAGTGCAAACGCTCTCTAGAAACCTTATATTTCTATTCTGTGGCAAAAGTGTATGGTATACTAGTCACATATATACTAATCTCGCAAATGATGAAATTGAGGAAATGGTTAACATGCATGGGTAACTTATGTACTTATGCTAGATAGAAGCAGGCGATTAGATCGATGCCTCCCCGCTCCTACGGCTACGCCCATGGTTTTGGGACTGCAAAATTTAAGACTTTAAGTCACAACTTAGCCGTCGCGGCACACTGCACCGGAGCGAAATTATTTAAAAACGCGGAGCGCTTCGCAGCTTCGTTTGAACACAAACGGCGTTACATTTTAGTATCGCTTGCAAACCAAGCATCTCACTTCTCAAAACATGCAGTCAATTCGAAGATTTTCATTTGAATTTCTCGACTTGCTCTATTTCAAGTATTTTGGGTTTACATGAATGCTAATTTAATTTCTAAACAAACTGCCAGCATTATTTTGCTCAGCTGCATATACAAGGTAGTCTGAACGTAATCTATTAAAATTCCGAACCTGGCAGTTCTAGAATATATAGTCTTTGCCTGAACGTATAGTCGTGCTTCCTTTGAATATTATATAAGATTGATTACGTGCTGGTGTTGGCTATTTTGTGAAGCAATCCGATCGTTTAACATTGATGTATATTTGGTCTTGCTTATACATGATTCAAGAACCTTGATTGATCTTAGTTTAAAGTAAAACGTTTAATTGATTCACCTTTGTTGATCTTCAGAGTTCAAAGTATGTTTAGTACAGTCAACACAAGCAAAGCTGCTAGTCACTTGATTCACCTTGACTGACCTTCAAACAGGGATTGTTGTAAGCTAGATTTGCCATTAAGGTGGCTCAATACAGTTTTTTGTTTAAAATTGAAAAATTCACGATTCAGGTCCATATTTTGGACAATTATTTCTTGTTGAAAAACAAAAAATATCTAACTGATATAAAACATCTAAAGAGTTCGACTATAGTATGTCAACAACGACGTTTCAACTTTCAAGATGACAGATATTTTTCTTAAACGATGACACCAAATTGTATTTCAAAGTATGATTTCCCTTAGTATAATCAATTGTTTTGACAATTTAAAAAAAATTCTGTTAGGCCGAAAACAATTATCATGAAATAATAGCTTTAGATAATTTGAAATATTTCGGCTCAACAGAAATGTTTTAAAATTGTCAGCGTAATTCAATACACTAAGAGAAACTATTTTATGAAATAAAAATTGGGGGTTACGACGTCGTTTTCGACTTAAAAAGAAAAAATCCACCATATTGGAACGTCATTGTTTGCATAGCAACGGCAGTTGCGTAACTTTTTAGATTTTGTTTTACATATTCCAAAAATCGCAAATTTCCCATTTTTAAAAAATTGTATTGAGCCATCCTAAACAGAAGTTTAAACTACATTGTTTATATACCATAATATGATGCTCATCTTTGATCAGTTTTTAGGACATGGTACCACACAAACATAAAAAGTATGTTTTTTAAAGTAACCGTTGCCATGGTTACCATGTTAATTACACCCCATTGATGAAAAATCAACATGTTTGTAAACATGATATCTCAAGAATTAAGTATGAATGTTAAAAACCTAAAATAGAACTAGAACTATGGTGATTGAGGCAAATATTTTTTTGCAGACAAAATATTGAAATAGATATTATCGGCATGATTTGCAGATATTTTATGATTCTACCGGGTGTCCCAAAAAAAAGTACTCCTGTTTGATTCGTAATAACTTCTAAACAAGTAAAGCTTTTAAAGAGAAATAACTTGCATCAAATAGAGAAAGGACTAACTTAGATTTTGATATATTACAGTTGTATTTCACTTAAAAATTCACGGAGATATTAATCTTTAAAATCGGGAGCATATTTCTGGATGTGTCTAAAATTAGCGAAAATCGGCATATCAAATATTAACTCCAGCATTTGTTTGCTTAATGACATATCAGGCTAACTTGTATTTCAGCGAATTATCGTTAGGGTTTGTCTAGGGATATGGCGTAGATTTAGACATCTTACATGTAAGTCTTAGCTCATTGTTTTCTGAAATATGAACGTTCGAAATTATGCAAGTATTTAATATTACGGCGTAGTATTTAATATTACGGCGTATCAAATATTAATCAAGA